AAAATTTTCCCAGTTTTTAACAATAAATTAATAATTTTTAATAGAATACTTGAAAATGATAAGTATAATTTTTTGAATATAATAACATTAAAGCCCTCACACATTGAATTCTTGTTTTATAATTGATTTACTATATCATTTAAGTCTTGCATAGTTAAAGGAGTAAATTAACAAAAATAAGGAATGTTATCATTTAGTGATAAGTTTTACATAGCATTATAACTTATATCACTTTGAATTGATGTTTTAATATCAATGATACTTTGGATTAAAAATTCATTATATTTATCTGGAGTGGTTTTTTTTGTGTTATTTTTTTGAAAACTTTTAATAACTTTTTCTTCATCAAATTTAATATCATCCATTATATTTGATTTAATTAATGGTTTGACAAATGTTAGATATTTAATCGAATTCCACATAGCTTTATGATCATTTTTGACTAATTAAATTTTTATTTTATAGGAGCCAGCTTTTTTCTTTGATAGAGTATTTACAAGTAATTATTTCATGATCAGAAAGTTTTTCTTTTTTGTTAGTTTAGATAAAAGTACAATTTGAAATTGCTAAGTCAATACAAGTACTTGATTTTTCAGATATTTTTGTTGGTTTACTGTTAAAAATATACATTTGATTATTTTTGATAGATTGCTTTAGTGCTATAGAGTGTTTGTCATTTGAAAGTGTATTTATATTAAAGTTTGAATGATTATATTTTATATCGAAAAACTCCAAGAAGATGGTTTTGTTCTCCTGTGGAGATTTATACAAAACACTAAAATGAAATTTATTTTTGTTAATGACTAGTTAAGTAGATTATAACCAATTACACTTGTCTTTGACGATAGATTTAGGATCAGAATTTACTTTTATGTCATTTTTATAATATAATATACAACCACCGTTATGAGCACTTGATGATTCTAAATTTATAAAAGAATAACCAAAAATTTCAAGCTCTTTTTCAAAGATTAAGGACGTTATGTGGGTTTCAGTTAGTCCAAGTATATGAGGTCTAAATTTTTGTACATATAGTGTATACTGTCAAGTTTATTTATGAGACCATTTATATTTGCATATGCAATTTTATTGTCTTTTACTACTATTGAGTTGCCATACTTTAATTCCACTCTATTTTTAATATCATTATGTACTGAACATTTTTTATCGAATGCACAATGTTGAGGATTTATCAGTAAATTGAATTTTTTGTTTTTGTTAAGGCAATTAACACACCAATTACTTTCGTGATTTTGACAATCTTTACTGTAATGATCACCTGAACAGTAGCAACATGAAGGAGTATTAAAGTGACAGTTTTTTGCTATATGATTGTAACTTTGATAATGGTAACATTGAATAATATTTATAGGTTTTCTAATTTGCACAGACTCCCAGCCAATTGCTAACCTACCATTTTTCTTATTTATAATGTATTCATATGTGTTTATATCTATATCAGCTATAACCAGTTCATATTTATTATTTGTCATGTTAATTCTTTTCACAACTATGACTTTAGCCTTATCATTCAAACTATTTAGAGCTATTATATCGTTTGCTAATATCTCATTGATTACTTCATCGTGTTTGGTTATCTTAAATTCAATCCTTTTCATTTTTTCAGTATTACCGTTTTCAACTGAGATATTTACACCTAATTTACCATTAATTTCCTGATATAGTTTGTCTTTTGATTTTTTGTCATTACACCATATGATTACTTCATTATTTTGATTTTGGATATGTCGAATTTCTACTCCTAATTCTTTTGGTTTGATATTGTCCATAATCAACTTCTTTGTGTTAATTTCAACTGGTTGTTAACTTTTTTGACAACAATTTCATTATATGTCCTTTCAGATATACTATTTACATTGCTTGATATTATTGGGATTTCTATCATTTTTAATTTTACTTTTTTAATTTTATTTAAAATTCTAACTAAAGATCCTAGTTTACCAACATAAAAAGATGTTAATCGCATTAAACGCACTAAATATCTATCAAACTAATATATACAAAATTATTTTATTTATGTTGACATACAAACTTGGACTAGCTTCAAATTATTTTTCTAATAACTTTTTTCAAATTAATGCTAATAAGTTTACTACAAGAGGAACGGGAAATTTCACGTTGCCTATAAAAAAAACAAAAATTTTGCAATATGCAACTGTATACCGTGGCCCTTACCTATATAACAAAGTCATACCCCAAAATATAGACCTTTCACAAATTGTGCTAACTCCAAAATTAAGTATGTTTATACCTATGCTAAACGAGGAGGCCTTGCAAATAATTAAGAAGGCGGAGACCTGGGTGCAAAAAAGCCCTGAAACGCCCCCATCCCCTAAAAAAAAGAGGAAGGGTGTAAATTTTGTATGGTCATAACTTATGTAATTTACAATATTTTTCTACGAAATTTTAAATCTGTCGATAAATTTAAATTTAGTTTTAGATGGTAAAGTTGAAATTTTACTACATTAGTGCCCTCACGCTTGGGCGGGGGAGGGGGAGGGGCAAGCGTTTTTGGGCTTTTTTGTTTCTAGGCCTCCGCCATTCCAATTTTTGGAAGACCTCCTCATTTGGCATAGTTATACTTAAATTTTTGAGCTTGCACAAATTTCACACATTTGGCATAGGCATACTTATGTTTGGAGCTTGTGCAAGGGGTTTTCAGGGCTTTTTTGCACCCAGGCCTCCTCCAATTTGCAAAGTTTGAAACATAGGGTGGCATTTTTTTGTTTATTTGTTTTGCTGCTTTTAATAGTATTATACTGTTATATAATCTTTTCAGTGTCAACTATAGTTAATATATAGTTTATAGATAATGCATTGTTTTCTACAGGCCAAAATGAAATTGTGAGGTTTTGTTGAAAAAAAATTTTAAGATGTCTGTTCTGAGGTACAGAATAAAAATCTTTGGAAAATTTGAGATCAATTTTTTTAAAAAGTCTATTGAGAAATTAAGAAAAGATCTATGGTAAAATTGAGTCAATATTATATTAAGCCCAACAAATTTCAAGTCGCCAAGAACAAAATTCTTTTTCAGTTTTCTGTATGCTTCTAAACAGTCAGTAGCGCATTAAAGGGGGGTTTCCATGGTATCCGGAAACCCCTTTTTAAATTGTTTTAGAATGTGTGTGTGTTGAATGACATTTTCTTGTTACTGCTTTATACACTACTAATCGTTATTAAGTGTGTTGTGTCAAGTTCGGCAGGAAGAATAAGTGTTGGAATTTAAAATGAATATGAAAATGACTTTATGCCAAAAAAGTAAATAAATAATATATAAATATGCAGACTTTGCGTTTCACAAAGTAAAAATTAAGGATTTATAAAATTGTAAACCCCTTTTCAGAAATCCTAATTATGCGGCTGACAGTCTCTTAGTTTATTATTAATTTAATAGAATTTCTGTAGAAATTGGTAATAAAAGTTATATATATATATATATATATATATATATATATATATATATATATATATATATATATATATATATATATATATATATATATATATATATATATATATATATATATATATATATATAGAATAGAATAGAATAGAAAAGGTGCTGTACACACTTGAGGTGTGTAGAGTTTTAATTACGTAGAATTAAGACTATGACAGCCGATTACAAAAATTACTGTTCTGAAACCGAAATAATTATCGATACTGTTTTTAAAAATGTTTAAATTATCTTTATCTAATATCCATTGTGGAAGAGAATTCCAATCATTTATAACTCTGTTTGTAAAGAAATGGTGACGAATTCTTGATTTTGTAAATTGTCTCCGTATTCTACAATTGTTTCTTCCACTAGATCGCTCCAGCTCAAAATTTAAAGGAGAATGGTGAAAATTAACAATATCTTTCCCTTTTGAGATGTTATACATTTGAATCAGATCACCTTTTCTCCTTCTATCAAACAAAGTTGGCAATTCAAGTATCTTTAATCTTTCTTCATACGACTTCCCCCTTAAAGATTCATTTCTCGTAGCCCTGTGTTGCACGATTTCAAGATTGTCAATGTCCTTGTTCCAAAATGGACTCCAAACTGTTGCTCCATATTCCAAATGGGGACTTACTAACGACTTTTATAGTAACTTTAATGAAAATTCATCTAAATACTCAGAAGAGTTTTTGATCATGCCTAATTTTCTGTTGCTTTACCTATAGCTGAATTAATATGATATTTCCACTCTAGATTATTTGAAATGAAAATCCCAAGGTCATTTTCTATCATTGTTTCTGTTAAAACAGAGTTGTTCAATTTATATTCATATCTTGGATTCTTTTTGCCAATATACATGACTTTACATTTTGATTCATTAAATGTAATTAACTAATCTTCAGACCATTTAACTAACCTGTTAATATCCTCTTGTAATATTTTATTACCATCATAACAATGATTGATTGAAATAACTTTGGTATTGTCTGCATATAATTTAGTGTCTTTAATAATCCCTCTACATAAGTCATTAATGAAGATTACAAACAAAAGAGGTCCGAGTACTAAACCTTGTGGTACTCCACTAGTAACCATCTTCCAACTTGAAATATATTTCCCTATCACAACCCTCTGTGTTCGGTCTGACAAAAATAATTTACACCAATTTAACATAGATGATACAAATCCTAGTCTGAATAATTTTTTCAGTAATTTCGTGTGAGAGACTGAATCAAATGCTTTTTTAAAATCCAAAAATAAAACATCAACGGAAATATCCTCTTCATACGCTTGCGTGATTAAATCTAATGTTTCTAAAAGGTTTGTTATACAACTTTTGTTATTAACAAAACCATGTTGCTCTTTAGAAATTAAATTGTTTTCAACAAATAAAAACACCATCATATGATCTTTAATAATTCTCTCCATAACTTTACCAACAATTGAGGTTAATGAAGCCGGTCTATAATTTGTTGGCTCTAGTTTATTTCCTTTTTTGGGAACAACGGAATAACGGAATAACGGAATAACGGAATAACGGAACAACGTTTGCACATGACCATAACTTTGGAATAGATCCTGTAATAAACGATTTAACAAATATTATTGCTAAAGAACTTGACAAAGATTCTGAACATTCCTTTAAAACTTTTGGGTGAACATTATCTGGACCTACTGATTTGTACATGTTTAAATTACTCAAATGTTTCTGAATAATAGAAATACTAAAATCTGGATCAGAACATTTTGTTAAAGGATTGTCGTCTAAAACTTCTTCTGATGAGTCATCTTGTATAAACACAGAAGCAAAGAATTCATTAAGAGTGTTTACTATCTCTTGATTATCAGTAGTTATAATACCATTATGTAGCTTTATGGCTTTGATCGAGTCTTTAAATCTTGTTTTGTTGTTTATATAAGCATAGACACTTTTAGGCTTGTTTTTTGAATTAAGTGCCAAGTTTTTTTCAAAGTTGCGAATACTTTTCTTGACAAGTTTTTTTATATCTTTATTTAATTTTTTTATACTTATTGACTTCTAAAAGACTTTTAAAACCTGAATTTCTGTTTCTAAACCAACATTTTTTCTTTTCTTTACACATGCTTTTAACTTCACTTGTCATCCATAGTGAGTTATTTTTTAGTTGAAAAGAGTTTTTATCTAAATTTAACATTGGGATATATTTTTCACATTCTATTTCATATTTTCTAAGCCATTTTTCGTAACATTCATTAACACTTAGTCCTTCAAATTCATTTATCCAGTTTATGTTATTAAAATACAAATCTAATGCTTCATACTTTCCATTTTTCCACAAAAATTTTTTCTTCCTTGTTTGTAGTGATATTAATAAATTAAGTTTATTTTCATAACCAAATCTAAATTTCAAAATATGATGACCATGATCGATACCACCTAACGGTGGAAAATGTTCAAGAAAATAAACTCTGTTGCTATTATCAGTTAAATGAGGTCTAAAATGTTAGTATCAATACCAAACTTTACTTGAAAATTTTGGTGCAGGTAACAGTCATGTAACGACTCAATAAACATACTTGCTGTTGTGTCACTGTCATTTATAATTTCACTAAAACTTTCATCGTTCCACTTGATGTTTGCATAGATTAAGTCACCACATATTAAAATACTAGAGCATTTGTTATTTTGTTCGAGTACATATGCTTGTTTTAATGATTTTATAATGTCAATACACTTTTCACTATTACAAAGACCTGTCCGGTACATACAACCACATAGATTTGCTCTTTGCCAATTTCAATCAAACACCATACTTGCTCAATATTTTCATTTATTAGATATTTTTCATTTATTTCATAAGATTTAATATTCTCTTGTATATAAATACATACACCACAACCATGACTAAATTGACGATCTTTTCTAAACAGATTATAACCAGGAATATTAGTAGTAGACATTGCTGACCACCAAGTCTCACAAGCAAATATAACTTGAGCCTTAGATCTGGATATATCATCAATGAATTCGTCAAATTTATTATTTAAAGAGGTCGCATTTGTATATATATATATATATATATATATATATATATATATATATATATATATATATATATATATATATATATATATATATATATATATATATATATATATATATATATATATATATATATATATATATATATGTATATATATATATATATATATATATATATATATATATATATTATATATTATATACAGAGAACAAAGTAATATAGTTAAATATTTTGGATGTTATTGAATGCTACCTGCCCATTTAAATGTTTTTAAGGTATTTATGGCGTAGGGTTATTAGCATTGTAAGTTTATAATCTACTTGCTATTTTTTTTACTGGTCCTGTAGTCATTATTAGTATATTCTAAATTGCTGATTTTCTTACAGAATCTTACTTATATGCAATTTTGTGTCTGATAACCTAAATGTAAAAAGAAAACCTTAAATGAGACTAAACTGGTCATCATATTCAATTTTATTAAATATTTTGGTACAAATAGTCAAAGTAATAAATTAATATAAACTAAAACTCAAATAAACTTTTTTGTATTGTAGAAAATTTGTCATAAAAAAAAGATATAAATTTTGTTTATTTCATGTGTTTATATGTCTGTGCAGAAAACTTTTTACATCTTTTGTAAGTGAAATTTGTATTTTGTATATTATGTGACCGATACTTAGATGCGTATATTAATAATGGGTTCAGAACCAGTAACAGAAAAATAACAAGTTTTAAACTTACTACTAATTACCCTATACTACAAATACCTTAAAAACATTCAAATGAACGCATAGCATCCAATAACACCTAAAATATGTTTCTGTATAACTTTGCAACCCATCTAAAGAATAACTTTATTATTTTCAGAAAAAAGTTGAAAGAAATTTATTGTACATAGTTCATGTTTAGTTAGAAATTAATACTCTCATTGATAAAAAAAATGTTTAAGGCAAGGTATTTAGAATAATAAATGATGATGTAAAAAATAAACTACTCTTGTCTCTTGTTGTAAAATTTTAAGATTCATGGAAGATACAGGTTGACCTTGATATTGTTTTTCATTAACATTTTATAAAAATCATTGAATAGGTTCTCCAAAATATATAAATAGACAACATCTTTTTTAAATAATAAATCAATGCTATCTTAATTGTCTTTGAAATTATTTTACTTTATAAATAAATCTCAAATAAAATTTGCAATTCTTATTTGTAAACATATATAACCTTTAAGACTGTATCACCATAAATGCAAAGATAAATTATTAACAGGTTCCCCAAATTTGAGAGTTTTAGATTCATTATTATCCTTGAAGCTTATATCCTATGTAACATACTTCTTACTTTCTACTTCTGGTCAAAAAAATAAGTTCCATATAATTTGTTGCTTTTGTTCCTAATAACCCTGTTTACCATAAGTTCCATAATACTTGTTGATTTTGTTCCCTGCTAACTAAAAATTCTTTATAACTTGTTGATTTTGTTTTGCAACTTAAACATGCAGTATTTGCATAATTTTACAAAATTTTCAAAGTGTTTTATTTTTTACTTGTTTTTAGAAATGCTGACAGAGATGTACGCTTGGTATATGAAGAACTGCTTAAAAATTACAATAAAAATTTGCGTCCTGATTACTTAGGTATATTATTAATACAAAAAGTTCTGTTGAAAATGATCATTGGTGTCTTAAAGTCTTTAATAACTTTCTATGAGTTTCATATAAAAAATTATAACTATCACCATAAATTTTTAAAATTCTGTGTCTGCAATGGCATGGGTTAAATCAGTGGTTCCCAAACTTATTTGGTCTACTGCCACCTTTTCAGAAAACTAATAACTCACTACCTCCTTTTTAAAAGAACAAAGGGAAGGCTATATGTAGGAGAGAGTGGTGTGCCTCGGAGGTATTTCCAAATTTTGACAAATATATATATATATATATATATATATATATATATATATATATATATATATATATATATATATATATGTATATATATAAACATATACAAATAAAATATATAAGCATATGTATATACATCCCTCGAAATTAGGAAAAAGGTCGTTACTGTGATTTAATATTTCACATTCTCTATTCCACTTTCAGGCAATCAAAGTGATGTGGTAACTAAAACTAGGGCTAATATGTTCAACTCATTCACAGTTTTGTCTTCTCTTAAAATCTTTGTGTAAATCTTTATGAGTTCATGTCCTTTTTACAGGACTGGAAGTTGGAATGCATAATTTTTTTGTAAGATGGCTTTTCTAGTTTGTTTCTGTGGTTGAGATTTTGGGTAGGATGGAATCACTTCAGGAGACATAATGTTAGTGCTTATCTGGTTTACATAAGAAGCAAGATTGCAGTTTGTAAGGAGGCGGAAACTCGTAATCTTAAAAAATGTCTTTATTCAGTAGATGAAGGCCACTCACTTAAAAACTGTATGTAATGTTGCATGTTATTAATGCTAAGGGATAAGCTTGTCAAACAATTTCCAACATATCATAGATTGTTGCTGGTTTCCCAGCATTGCCTGTTTTCAACATCCAATTCTTTATTTTATTGTTGTAATAAGACCTAAATGGGCCTAATATATCTTTGTCTAAGAGCAGCACATTGTTACTCATGTGTGGATGAAATACTACCATTATAATTTATTGGATTCTTGAAATACAGGCCTTGACAGTGCAATATGATATCTTTAGACTGGAGGTCATTTGTATATGGCTAGATTTACACAGTAATGGATTGTTTTTGTTTTGCAATAGTTTTACTTGACAATAAATGGTCTAAGCACAAGTTTTAAGCAACCATTTTTTACCCAGCAACTAAAAAATTGGCAGTTAAGGTTGATCTATTTTTAAAGTACAACACATTTATCGAACAAAAAGTTAAATTATGCCTCAAAAAATGTCGATTAAAAAATCTTTTACATATTATCGCGGAAAACATACCAACTAACTTTCTAAGTTTACCTCCTTCTAAATCCAGGACATCAAAATTTTCATAATCCAGTATAAGAAATATGATATCTAATAAACAAGCTCTAGAGAAGATGTTTTTTTCCGATTTGGTAGCATAAAGGAGAGACTTTAATAGTAATGATTTTATTGTATACAACATAAATGATAATAATGATTTTGTTTACAATCAGTCAAAATAGTTTTTATGTGTTATTGCAAAGTTTTTAGTTAATATTAATAAAGATTTACTTTGTTTTAACTTAGATTATCTTGCAGTATTCCCATTTTTATATCAATTAAGACATTATCATATAATAAATATTGGTTGGTCTTTGATGAGATCATTGTCACTTAAAAAATAAGATGCATGACTTATTTAGAGCAAATGGACTATATGTCTCAAAAGAAAGTTAGCAAATTTATTTGCTCTCCTGATATAATTACTCAAGCATTTTAATATTTCACTATATCCAGGTCTTTGTACCACCAAATTTTTAATGATTATAAATTACCAAATATTAGAACTTTGACAAGAATCACTTCCAAAGTGGGATCACAAGATAGTATGGAATTTTCAAAAAATGTTATAATGAGTATTGAAAATATGCAACATAAACAAATACTGCTGGTTGATGAAGTTTATATCAAATCCACATTAACTTATCATAAAGGTGTATTGTTCGGAAGATCTGCTTATCACCTGGTGTCCTTGGTAACACCATGTTAGCTATAATGGTAAAATGTTTATTTGGTGGACCAGAGTTTCTTGTAAAAATGATTCCAATTAGTAAAAATGGTTCCAATTAGTAAAAATGGTTCCAATTAGTAAAAATGGTTCCAATTTTAAACAATGCAAACCAATAGTTAAAGCAGTTACTAATCAACTGAACGTAAAACTGTTACCAATTGTTATTGATAGAAATAGAGTAAATCAAAAGTTTTTTTTAAAAGGATGAATAAAATAGAAGAAAAATCTTAGTGCAGAGATAGCGAAAACACATTTTTCTTGTTTGATTATGTTAATATCAGTGTGTTCGTAAAAATTGGTTAACTTAAGAAAACAGGTATTTATTTTTTGAGTTTGTGGTAACAAACATGTAGCAAAATGGATTTGATAAATCTTTATAAGGATTCTGCAGATCTTTAAAAGCTTAACAATTAAAATGAAATTTTTATCTTACTAAAACTGATTGAGCGGCAGAAAGTTGGCACTTGTTTACATAGGCCAGCTTGTAAACAAGTTTATGAAAGGATTACTGCGCTTAAAGTTCAATTGAAATGATTGCTGCTTTTAAAAATCAATGAAACGATTGCTGCACTTAAAAATTATCCATCTATTAAAAAAGATGAAGTTATTGACACCATCAAGTTTGTTTCTATGTTTGTGAAGTTTTGGAAAATTTGTAATGCGAAAAATGTTAGAGGTGTGAAAGGTGTTAGAGGTGTGAAAGGTGTTAGAGCAGATGTTATTTATAAAGATTATTACCGCGCAGATATAAGATCACACACAGATAAAAGACTTATTAGATGTGGTAGATATGGTTGAAAGAATGTAAAGTTTAGGCCTAAAATGTATTACATAGCTTACAAAAGATACTTCTGAATGTATTTCTTATGTGTGTAGGGAGTTAGACAACATTGCAATGTATTTTTTGCATTGTGGAAATGACTGGATTATCCTTGGGTAGTTCACAACTGATCCATTAGAGAAAACAAAGAGTTACTTAATAGCTGTAAGGGTGCATTTCCGCTATTAAAAGCAGTCTAGCAAGCCAGACTTGTTGCCTCAGGTTTTCTTAGCAATAATTCTTACACTATTTCTCTTTCCAGCCAGTTTTTACCTGCTATTCGATTTATTCCCCAAGATCTATTATTTTTTTAGTTTGCTTTCCGAAAATAATAGGCCAATTTTTGTACAACTTTTAAAATCAGTCAATATTAAAAAGCCTGGTGATTTTTAATATTGACTGATTTTAAAATCAGTCAATATTAAAAATCACCAGGATGTATTCAACTAGAAGTTTATCTACTTCTGCAGTGAAAACTTTTATTAAGTCTTCTTTTATATCCAGTCTTCTAGGCATTTTATAAACTTTTATTTGTACTTCCCTGAAAATTTATGAATAAATAAAATATTTAAAGTCTGTATTAAAGATCAGGCTGATTAATTATTCATAAAGTGTAAGGCCAACACAATTTTTATAGCATAATTTCAAACTTTTTTATGCTCAAAAAAATTTGCTTGTGATTTTTATTTAGCTCTATAAGTTCATAAATTTAATAATTATACAAATAAATATAGTCCTTTTTTCCAAAGGAATACACACAACATTTTAAAATAAAAGAAATAAGAAAGAAATCGAGTATTTATGTATTTAAATAATGTTAAATATTTTTTTTTTTTTTTTTTTTGCATTTTTCTCTTTAAATTCAGTTGTTAATGCTTTTTTTTATATCTTACTATTTACTTTTGTTTAATTAATGTATAATATAGGATTTATTATTGTATACAGTAGTGTATGTATACATTTTTTGTTTAAGTTTGCCTTTATTTTGCTTTTTTATAATTGTCTACAGAAATTTTTTTCTTTCACTCTATCCTTCTGAACTGTTGAATTAATGTATAATATGGGGTTTATTATTGTATGTAGTAGTGTATGTATATATTTTTTTTACTTAAGTTTGTCTCTATTTTGCTTTTTTATAATTTTCTACAGAATTTTTTTTCTTTCACTCTATCCTTCTGAACTTATGTCATTTAAATTTGTTTTTTCTCATACATTTTTTTCTCACTCATCTTATCTCATTCGTACATTCTCTTTCTTTTTTTTGTTTTTGTTAGTCTTACTGCTTTAATTATTTTGTTCTGATTCCAATTTTTTTAATATTATTTTCCCTATTACTTTTTTTTACTATTTGTATTATTGTAGTTTACTCTCATTATTATATCCTTGTCTCAATATTTTTTATTTCATTTTATTAAGGTGTCACTTGATTGGCTAGTTTTTATTATATAAGTGACACCGAACCAAATTTTGTAAATTATAATTAAATTTATAGTTTTTGAATTTATGGTTAAATAAATGAATAAGAAAAAAAACACCTAACAATCAAATAATCTTTCTTAATAACAACAAATTACATTAAAGAAGTACTTTCAAACAAATTTCACTCCTAATGTTCACAAAATTAAGCCTGTGTATCTTGGTGGTACCAAGATTTTTTTATAACCAGATTGATAGGCATTTTATGCTTTTACACATTTTTAGTAATTCATAATTCTTCACAAATTTCTTTTTATATATACAAATTTGCTCTTCTTTTTATATATATGCATATATATATATGCATATATATATATATGCATATATATATATAATATATATATATATATATATATATATATATATATATATATATATATATATATATATATATATATATATATATAATATATATATATATATATATATATATACATATATATATGTATATATATACATACAATATAAATATACACACAGTATATATATATATATATATATATATAATATATATATATATATATATATATATATATATATATATATATATATATATATATATATATATATATATAATCATACATACAGTATATATATATATATATATATATATATATATATATATATATATATATATATATATATATATATACATACATACATACATACATACATACATACATACAGTATATATATATATATATATATATATATATATATATATATATATATATATATATATATATATATATATATATATATATATATATATATATATATATAGTTAATTCCTGACAACTTGAAACTTCAAAGGACCAAGAAAAATGATTTGACTTAACAAATGTTCCACTAAAGGGAATTCCAATTAAGTCAAACTTTGGCTGGTATGAGATATTATTCAATGCTAAAGTATAAATATTAAACAAACATCATTATATTTATAAAAACGTGATAAATGTTTCAGTGAAAGAAGTTAGGTATTGTATACACACCATACTGTGTGCTACATGAGTAGATAACTTTGAAAAAGAATTAGCAGTACAATGACTTCCTTGTTATTTCGTAATAAAATTGCGTCTAAAGGCTAACAATCTTTTATTAAGATTATTCTTATAAAATAACTGCTTTTTTAATGGTATTATTATGATTTATTTTGTTGCAGTTACATTATAGCATTATTTTATGTCTAATAGTGATCACTTCTATTCAGATCTAAATACAATGAATAAAAAAAAGAAAATATTAGACTACTGTTATTTATGTCTTATATGGAATGATGTCTTAAAAAAAATTTGATTTCTTTATTTCCCATACGAAATGCTCTTAATCAAAGAAATTTGCTGAAAGGGGACAAAAAAATGGTTCGACTTAGTAATATATATTACTTAGTAATATATATATATATGTACATATTACTAAGTAATATATACATATTTTTTCTTTTGGATGTCTTCACTTCCAACAAGGCTGCAAGCAACCACTATTAGAGTTGTAAGTTACTGGCAGAAAAAAGATGAAGTTTATAGAGCAAGATAACAATTGACAGACGACTTAAAAGATTGCAAATTATATAAATCAGGAAAACAAGATAAAGAAAGCACATTACTAAGAACTGAAACTTTGAGAAAAAAAACTAGACAAATAAGAATTTTTGGAGCAATTAAGAACAGTTACAGTAAAAGGATGAAATTTTTTTGAATGACAAGTAACACAAGAATTAATTTTAGTTGATGGCACAAAAGATGCTAGCTCTTTAGAGCAATGCCCATTATAGTATTTATAGAAAAGAGAAAGAAAAGCAACATTACAATAATGTGATAATGGTTGGAGGTTGGCTGCATAGGCAAGTCCAAACATGTTTACTATGCGTTTTTGCATCTTGTCTAAAGGAGAAAGAGCATCATTGAATGATTTGCATCAGATATGGCAACAGTATTCCATATTAACTCCCAACATGGCTGTAATCAACCACTATTAAGTTAAATATTGCTAGAAAAAATAAAGGACAAAGTTATAAAGCGAGGAAACGGTTGACAGAAGACTTGAAAAATTGTAGGTTGTATGAGTCAGGAAAACATGAAGATGAGAGAAAGTTCCAAAGGATTGAAGTGCATGGAAAAAAACTATTTAAAATAAAAATTTTTAGAGCATGCAGGAACAGATACAGTAAAAAAATGAGATTTTCTAAAATGATTAGTCAAGCAAGAATGAGTTTTAGTTAATGAAACTAGAGATTATAGCTTCTTTAAGCAGCAGCCATGATACATGATACTTTGCTGTATGACCAATAGCTCTTAGAATCATGATAGTATTTGTAGAAAAGAGAAAGAGATGCAATTATGATGGGAGAGAGACTCAAGCTTAGTAGATAAAGCGGGTTCAACTACGTTTACAATTCATTTTTAGACATTGTTTAGAAGAAAAAGAGTTTCATTAAAAGAACCAACCCAAATATGACAACGGTATTCCAAACAGGAAGAAACAAGAAGGCGGGAAGAAGGCGACTCAGTGAACGGGTTACCATTCATTAATATAGGAATGTTGACAGTATTGCAATAGTTGTTTGCAGTAAATAAATGAGTTTTGTTAGAGTTAAGATTTAAAAGCCATTGCAAGCTTTAATTTGTTACAGAAGTAAGATCAGATTCAAGATTGCCTGCCTGTTCTCAGCAATCCAAAAATAAAGATTTTTTTCAAGACAGGAGTATAAAGTTCATCAGCAAAAAGAGCTACTTTAGATGTAAAGTTGTCAGGAATATCATTAATGTAGAAAAGAAACAAAACAGGATCAAAGATAGAACCTTGAGGTACCCCAGAAGTTATTGAAAATGAAGAAGAGCATTGGTCTTCGAGGATGACTTTAATAAATGATTGAAATGGAAAGAAATGATTTGACAATGATTATGATTAGATATAAATGATTACGATTAGATATAGCAGCTGCACAAGGAGATGAAAGCCAGACAACCATGCAGTTGTCTCAGTTTTCTCAGGGTTCCTTAGGTGGCTTCAACAATGCGCATTAAAAGCATTAACAGGGACACCATCCATGTATAACATAGTACTGTTAACACTCTGATAGTTTACAGATAAAGTTGATTAGTTTTGATGGAATTAGCCATTCTGAGAGCTACTACAGAGTTCAGGAAGTCTTACTATCACTCAGCCTTAGAACAATTAAACTGAGTTTTAGAGCTGTACCCTCATTAGGAGATAACAAGAAGAGTTGCATAGCCACTATCAAAAAGGCACAAGCAAATATCTATGACTAGAGTCAATAAGATCCATTATTCATCATCCTAAACAGGAAACATTGTAACACAGGTTTATATTTGCGCCAGC